GCAATGTAGGGCATTGACATGATTAGAGAGATCAAACCCACTGCCTCTAACGAACATCGCTTTATCCTCATCGCCATTGATTACTTTACAAAGTGGGTTGAAGAAGCCTCGTTTGCCTCTGTTACCAAGAATGTCGTGGCCCATTTCATTTAGCATAACCTTATTTGTCCGTATGGCATCCCTGGGAGAATCTTTACAGACAATGGTACTAATCTCAACAACATTATAATCATTGAACTTTGCACGCAGTTCAAGATCAAGCACCACAACTCTTCTTCGTAATGACCAAAGATAAATGGTGCAGTGGAAGCCACCAACAAGAATATTAAGAATATTATACAGAAGATGGTTGTGACCTACAAAGACTGGCACGAGATATTACTGTTTACTCTTCATGGATATCACACTTCAGCATGAACTTCAATTGGGGCAACCCCGTTCTCTCTGGTCTATGGTATTGAAATTGTTTTACATGTCTAAGTTTAGATTCCTTCTTTGAGAATCATGAAGGATGCGAATTTGGACGAAGACAAATAGATTTAAACTAGGATGGATCAATTGAATTTGATTGACGAGAAAAGGCTTGCGGATGTTTATCACGGTCAGATGTACTAGAAGCGTATGATCAAAGCCTTCAATAAGAAGATCAAGCACTAGGTACATCAGGCTGCTGACTTGGTAATAAAGCGCATCATTCTACCACAAGGTGGTCCCAGGGGAAAATGGACTCCCACCTATGAAGGGACATTTGTAATTAAGAAGATATTTTCGGGCGGTGCTATGATACTTACCACTATGGACGGTGAAGATTTTCCGCACCCTGTGAACGCGGACATAGTCAAAAGATGCTACGTATGAAAATGACCCGCTAGGTTGATTGGCCTAAGAAAAAATAAGGGCATCCCGGTGAGCCAAAAGGGTTCGGGAAAAAATTAGGGATATATATATATATATATATATATATATATATATATATATATATATATATATATATATATATATATATATATATATATATATATATATATATATATATATATATATATATATATATATATATATATATATATATATATATATTGTACACCCGACAAGTCGAAAACCTGAAAAGGAGGCTTGGGCAAAAAAGGGCATCCTGGTGGGCTGAAAACCCGAAAGGTCGGTCCAGGAAAAAATTAGGGATTAAAGCGTACGACTATGTCCTGTTGAATCACTTACAATAAGCTTTATTACCAACGTCAAGTTTCAAATGGTACAGATCAATTCAATCACTTTCTTCCGACAGCGAGGGATGAGATTCTTGAAGACATAGGGGAGATAGTAGGGTTGGATCCCAACGAGATTATTCCCACATAGCTATTATCTTGTTTTCACCTTGTACTCTTTTCATTTCACGACGATTTCCTATTACTAGGATTTCTGTCTCTTTGTACAAAAATTGCATGTTTATGGGAAAACTATCAATAGAAATAGAAATTTCAAAGTTCAAAATTTTTGTTTTACCTTTTTTGTTTTGTTTGCAAAAAACGTCCAATAACTAAAATTGAATGAACATATGCATATGAATATGATTAATTGTTAAACAAATACGTGTGTAAAAATGGGAATAAGCATTTGCTCAAGACTCTAGGAGTCAGGATAATGTTCATGTCGTCCATGTATCCCCATAGATAGATCCTCACAGGATTATCCCCACAGAGTCATCTTCAAAAAATCATTTTCAACAAAGATACATTCCTGACGAGGCTGAATTAACCTAATCATACTCACTAGCAGGTCACCCTAGCGGATAAAGGAATATGATCTTTTTCCCGGCATTGTTGCCAACCTAACGAAATTTCAGTCCCCATTAGAGATTAATGCATTGGTACAGTTTATGGAAATTTTCTTCCCCAACTGAGTTTATTCCTCCAAGACTGTAAAAACCCTTGCAAATTTCTTTATTCCAGCAGAGCTTATTTCCCCAGCAAGAGTACTTCCTCAGCAGAATATTTCTCTGTCCAGGTTAGGGTTTATTTCCCCAATAGAGTTTATTTCCCCAACAGGGTTTATTTCTACAACAGGGTTTATTTCCCTAGAAAAGTTCAGTCTCCCCAGTCTGAGTCTATTCCTCTAAATACCAACAAGATTCCAATCTCCAGCAAAGAGAAGTCTGAACCACTATCCCTATAAAGTTGCTACTAAATATGGAACTAGAACAAATACCACTTAACCTTACCCTCCCTAGAAGAGTCAGCATCCATATCAGAAACTCGATCAAACAGCACCTCGAAAGGTTATCCATCTCTTTTATCCCCAGTCAGGGTATATAAGAATTAAACTCCCCAGTAAAGTGACGAACGACTGATGTTCCTGAACTCTTCTCTCTAAACAGAAGTTAACATTCCCCAACAGAGTTTCCTCAAACAGGAAGCAGCATCCCCAACATAAACATTATAAACAAAGATTGAAGATTACACATATTCTTCATCCCCAGCACCAGTCAGGGATCCTCTTTCCCCGGCAAGATGTTATACAAAGCTATTAAATACGTTTCAACGGTATTGCACATTCATACATCATTTACAAACATCATAGCATATGCATACAAAATGCATATATCACACTCTCATTTACTTTGAGAACATCATTACGCAATGCGTTTCATACATCATGACACCGCATACAACTAACTCTTTATTTTTTCAGGTAAAGACTACAAACAAACGAATAACATCAATAATTTTAAAACAGGTCGCAGATTAATTCCTGAAACAAGACAGGGAAACTATTTGTCTGACTAAACACAGATTAATTCCTGAAATAAGATAGGGTAACTATCTGCGGAAACTGATTGTAGATCAATTTCCGAAATAGGACGGGGCGATTATCTACATGAACCAAGCAAAGATTAACTCTCGAAACAGGATGGGGAAACTATCTTCCTTTTTATTGTCGGATAAAGATCAATTCCTAAAATAGGACGGGGCGACTATCTTTATCACCAAATGGTATTAACTCCCAAAATAGGACAGGTTTAGCAACGATAAGCAACCGAACAAAGATTAAATCCTGAAACAGGACGGGGAAACTATCTTTCTCTCTTTAGGTTCAAATAAAGATCAATTCCCGAAACAGGACGAGGCGACTATCTTTATCAGCAATGGTATGAATTCCCAAAACAGGACGGGTTTACCAACAAAGCAGATTGTAGATCAATTCTCGAAACAGGACGGGGAGACTATCTACATGACAAGCAGCTACTCAAACACCTTTCCCAGAGGTTCATTCTGGAAAACATTCTTCAGATACAATCGAGCGTAGACTCATTATGATACTTATATCTACGATTGCCTTTGAATGGAATCTATAAGCCTATCTTCGGTGACTCTCCGTCACCTATCCAAATGGCATTTTTAATCCCAATCTTGGTACAATCAACCAACAACGTTACTTTATTCATAGGCGAGTGCAAATTTCTAGGCACTTAAGTGTTCTATCATCTTCTACCTTCAAGTTACGAATGGAGGACATGTCAATCTAACTCTTCAGGTTTAAGAAGATTGAACAGGGGCAGTTGTTGTACCCCAAAAATTTTCCTCCCCTTTTTCATTCAAGATATTCTCCTAGGATTTCTCAAATGCTCAAGGTGGCTCAAGAATTGATCAGACAAATTCTCCTCCTAAGCACTAGGTCCACAACTAGGGTTTGGTATTTCTCAAGAAAGATTTGGTTTCCAAGGTCTCAAGTGGCTTTCGTTGTGCTTCATATGTATTAAAGAATTATCATATCAATTTTCATGCCCTGCATCACAAGTTCGCTCAATCAATTGCTCGGATGACCGAAAATCAACTGTATTGACCAAAAAGTCAACATTTTCAAGATCAAGTTCAAATGATTGTAACTTCTTCATTATTCAACTGAGTATGACTCTCCTTGACATTATATCCAACTTTACTTTACAAGTCAAGAGCTGATTATGTGTGAAAGATCATCAAAAATTTGAATACTTTAGAGGTCATTTTGTGAATTTGACCTAATTTCAAGTAGTTGTTGCCCGACTTCCATGGATCATAACTTCCTCAACTTTCAACATTTTAAGGTGATTCTTTTTGCACATTATCATAGACGACGTTATCTACGATTATTCACCAAAGATCGGAATCAAATTATGCTTCGAAGGCCATGGAATCTCTTGAAACATTATAGGTCATTTTCTTGATTTAGAATGTTCCTAACTTCTAATTTCAATTCAAGCCATAATTGTTTCTTCAAAGACGATGATTCTTATGATGAGATAATTCATGAAACTAGATTTTTGAGTTTGAATATTCTTTGATTGGTCGTTTGCTTATAATTCAAGTCACTTGTGTTTGAGTGTTAGTGATTATTGGATCGAAGTTGGATTTTGACTAAAGTTCCTAAAGGAAATATTTGTACTATTGGCTCGTATTTCAAGTTACTATGAATTGAAGATATGGATTTCAATGAAGAAGATTCGAGGGTCCACTCAAATAATTCTTTCGACTTCAGCTCAATTCAAGCATGTGAGGCATAATTCATTCATATGAATTAGTATTTGGTTCAAGATATTCAAAGGGATCAATATGCTTATGGTGCAAGTTTGATATATTTGGAAAAAAATCATTCATGTGAACTATCTTGAATTCAAGGCAAGGCATTCATTAACTTCATTCATCATTCAAATTTCCAAGCTTGACTCAAATACAAGATTCAATTCAAGTTCTTCACATCTTAAGTTCATCAAGAGAGTTTGTTACATAAATTTCAAATCTAAACTTTGAGTAAATTCATCATCTTACAAGACTTGTTTGAGTTTCAAATTCAAGTTACATTTAAGGTTACATGAGATTATTTCAACTCATAAACTTATTCTAACTAACATTTTTCCTAAAAATGCTTCGTGACCATCTTCATAAGAAAACCAAGTCTTATCATTTTCTAGCCTGCAAAATCAGCCACAAAACCTTGCTGCTAAACTGCTGCTGCCCTGCATCATATCAGCCCATAAATTTCCCAAATCCAGCCATGTTGTCCCTGCTCATAACCTGTCATAAAACAAAACAAAACGTCCATAAATGTCCAAATAAACTGTCAAAATAACCCTTGAAAAGCATTGCAAACCTGCAAAATTCTGCTACAAAACAGCCTGCAAAAACCAGAAGAAAACTGTTAACTACAGTCTAAAGCATTACACAAATTCAACAAAACATAACCTGCATCCTTAAAGTTACAAAAATAGAATAGAAAAGTATTCAAAACTCATATGGTTTTCCCTCTCAAATAACCCTCATATATGCTATAAATCAGAGAAAGACATAAAGAAAAAAGGAAAGAGATAGAAAAAATTAGATATAAAACATGTTATTTATACCTTTAATCTGTGCTATTTAACAAGCCTTTGTTTTCATCAGTGGGCGGAGGCGTAAAACACTTTTCACAAAACTCTGTCTATATGATGATCCACACAAATCAACCTCAAACACCTTCAATATATTCAATCACAGCTCACGGTGTTTCATAATAAACGACCAACTCTCACAGTACACACATACGTAGGAAGAACAAACGAGAAATAAGCAACAGCAGAATCAGAAGGAGAAGACAATAAAAGGCAAGTCGGAGAAAAACATGCCTTTTTTCCTTTGTTTTTCCGCTTGCTTTTGATTGCAACTGTGTAACATGTTTCGTTGGAGTGAATCCATGACCATGATATGAACACGGTGAAGCCGAGATGCTTGAGAGACGAACTTTGTACCATTTCCCTTTCCTATTATGTAGATTGATCCGCTTGTTTGAGAGAGAGTCTAGGAATTTGGGTTGGAGATTCGGGTTCTACATGAAAAAAGAAAGAGAGTTGAGGTTGTGTTTTTTTCCATTTTGAATTAGAACCGTTGTGACGTCGCTGTCGACCGCCGCTGTTTGCCGAAAACCTAGTTTCTCTTTTTTTTCATCGTTTACATTTGGAGAATAAGAGAGTTTTTTAATATATCTATTGATGTTAAAATTTTGTTAATAATGTTTTGTTATTGTGTTTTGTACAGCCGTTTAGCAAGAGTCTTTACGGTGGTGACAAGTGTCGTTATCATAGGGACACTTGTCACCTTTGAGGTGGGCATCTCTCAGGTTCTCACGCGTGCACTCCCACCTGACTTACAATGTGTCCTTTTTTCATCTACATCAAATCATCTTCTGATCATCATCAACTACATCAGACGCATTAGATCTGTCCATCCATGGTGAACTCTCCTTGGAGCAACAGCACCAAATCGCTGCAAATTATCTTGAGCCAGGGCTTTCCCCCTACTTTACCCACCCCTGGCACTTTTTTTATTTATTCTTGCGTATTTTTCAGGTACAAAACAAAAGGTGTTGGCTCACATTCTATAAACACAAACAACATGATGGTCCAGTGGAGGATAGCATGCCTGTGAGGCAAAGAGGGGTGGGTTTAAATCCCATCCCATGCAACTTCTTTTTTTTACTAACACTTTTTATTCTTTCTTCATTTCCATTAATTCATTTTTTTATTTAACTAAAACTAATTAACTAGTAATTAGGTTTTCTTTGGCATATATTTTATTTTTAACTAATTAATTAATTAGAATTAGAGTTAATTATTATTATTACTTTAATTTTTTTATAATTAAAAACATCAAAAAATATTTTCCTAACACTTAGAAGTTTTTCTTTAGGTTTTAAATACCTTCTTCTAATTTCTTTTCTCTTTGCAATTTAAATTCTAGAAAACAAATGTATAGGTCGCACGATTGATTTTGTAATAGTTTAGTTTATTTTCCCGTATTTTTCCTAATTATGTAACTCTCCCAAAGCTCCATAATATCATAGATTTACATTCTCGCTTTATCTTTTTCCTTCATATGTTTGTATGTATATAACTGCTAGTAAATAGGCTTGTATGATAAGAATAAAATCAACCGCTAGAAAACCTAATCTCAAGATAAATAACTGAAATCAAAACACTTTTCACACGCGCACCTCTAGGATGACTCCACTTGTTATCTCGGAAAAACAGTCATGTCCCTCGAATGTGGGACGCTTTAGTAAAGACCCTCGGTTAAAATATTGTAGTCCATCGCTGACCCTTTGATGTTGCCTTCGGTTAACAATCTTAGTCCCTTACAAAAATTGCTAAAGTGTCATACAAGTTGCCTTATATGGTTGTACGATGACCTGCACATGTCTCTCACATCCAACGATAGGGCTTCCTACTAACTAATAGTAGGGTAGCACTATCTAAAGGAGGAGGAAAAGAACAAAGACTTTTTGAGTAGGTAGATCGCTCATAATCGCTTGCTCACAAACTAAAACAATTTTTACACCTCACACTTTCAAAACGACTACTTTCAAAATGCTTTATAAACACTCTTGAGGACTGATGCAAGGGTTATTATAAAGCAAATTTCCTTACATTGGTACTTTCAAAACATTTTTCTACAAGACAACACTTTCTTTCAATAAATATTTTCAAAACAAACATTTTGTATACATTCTCAACGATACGAGTATCATTACAAAATTGTCGTACTTAGGTATTTTCAAAATATTTTCAAACAAACACAAACACAAAGCATTTCAAAAAGTGATCTAGCAATTAAGATCCCGTAGATAACTACGTATGAAAAGGGTGCTTACACCTTCCCTTTTCATAACCTACCCCCCTTACTCAAAAAATTCTCAAAAGGTCTTTCCTGTTCTTTTCACCCCTTCCTTTGTTGGATAAAAGAAAAGTCGGTGGCGACTCTTGCTATTCGCAAAATTTGCGATAAAACACAAAACCAAAAGTCAGTTCTTCCACCGTATTAAACCTTCCATTTCCTTCACCTCATTAACATAATTAGGTTCCCTTACCCCAAGATCTATGTTTTCAAGAACATGTTCCATAAATATATCTCCATCAATAGCCATTGCACAAAAGTATGATGCAAAATCGCATGCATCGTCATCTTTTCTTATTAGAATAAAACCATCTTGAATTTCTAATATTTTTTCCATAACCTATAAATTCCTTCCTTATACCCCCACCTAGTCACCAATTGGCCAATGTTATCTGTTGTACCCCAAAATTTGCCTTCTCATTTATCAAGATTATTCTCACAAGATTTCTTTAACTCAAGACTGGATTAAGGTTTGACCAGCTCAAGACATCTCATCTTACACTGATGACCCAAAATTAAGGTTTGAGTTTGCACAAGGATTTTTGGACTATCAATACCTCACATGACTTTCAAGGATCATCATGGACCTCTAAGATTACTCATGACAAGTTTCAAGCCTTGAATCATATTTTTGATCAGTCAATTAGAGAGTTGACCTAAAAATCAACTGTATTGGGGAAAAGCCAACCATGGCCAATTTGCAGTCAAACTTCTTAATTTTTGATCCACATCAACATTCTAGACTCATATGTATCATTTGATCAAGTTTGGACCATAATTCCTCAAGAAATTTGATCAAATCATCCAAAGGGCAAAATGGTCAAAATTAGGGTTTTGACTGGGAAAGGGCAATTTCTGATTTTTGACCTAGAAAATGACCAGTTGATTTGAAGCATGGTTTCAAGGGTTCAATTGCATCATATTTACCCAATTACATGGTTCAAAACATTGCAAATCCATTGGATAGACAAATGAAATTTGCAGTCAACTGATCAAAAGTCAACTGTATACTAAAAAGTCAAACTTTGACTTTTTGGTCAAAATCAAGTGCCAAGGATCACAATTCATCAAAACATGTCAAAATGTGAAACTTGTTCATCAATAAATCAAAGATTGAAGATTTGGTTTTGAAATTTGAATTTTTCTTAACTTAGAAATTTTTCTAAGTATAGAAAATTTCTTATTTTTTCTCAAACTTTAAGCCATTTTCTCACCATGATACAAGATGAATCAAAGAAAGTTCCCAACATGAAAGTTGTAGATCTCCATGAAATCTACAACTTTTCTTCACACATTTTTCCCTAAAGATGCTTGGATCTCAAGATATAATTTTATGAATACATGCCCATGAACTAAAATAACTTAGTGAAATTTTGCCCTAATATAGGCAGGTTTTTGACCCAACTTCATGGCAATTTTCACCTAGTTCTAAGAGGAATCTTGAAATGCATTTCAAAGATGAGTTATAAATCACATTTCAAGATTTCCAAAATATCCAAGAAATCCTTGAGATCATTTTTGAGTAGGTAGAATCGAAGAGATGAAATTAGCAATTTCTCACTTTAAATTCAAGCCATTTCATGAAGAACAAAATTCAAATCTAAACCTATGCTGCCTAATTCCTGCTTTACAGGTCTCAAACTTGTTTCTCACTTCATAATTTAATGCTTACTCAGTTGACAAAGCCTTAATCCAAGCCCAAGGGTCTTTATCCAAGCTTTAATTCCATAAATGGCACAAAGTTGCCATTGCCATTTTGAAAAAGCTTAACTTTTGCAACTTTTCAATTCTTGAGCATTGGACATGTCTTCTCTCCACACACAAGTCCTACATACCTAAAGCAATTTGTATAGAGCTTATACCAACTCCAAGCAGGCCAGTACAAGCATGTGGAGACTTGTCTCTTCACTTTGCTTCAAAAGCAAGAAAGTGTGCAAAAAGCCTACAACTGAAAAATCTGTTGTGGAGTTGACTTGAAACTTTCTCTATACTAATACACAAACACATTACATCTTAGAACACGATTGTTAAAGGTCTAAAACACTCCAAAACTCCCTCTCACCAAAAACCTATCAAAAACTTATAGTTTGAGCATAAGCATAGCAATCCACAAATTGGCTCGTGCGTTTCAAGTTTTAATCATTCAAACACTTTACCTACCTCATATCTAAGTGATCCAGACCATCATCCCTGCACTGTAACTCCTCCTTCTTCATCTTCCATTTTTGTTTTCCAAGCTTGCAGGTTGACTTGGATAGAGAGTTTCAGACACTTTCAAAGCAAGGTAAGGATTAAAACACACTCAGGGAGGTTCAAGCAAGCTAAAGGAATCTTCAGGCCTTCATAAATCTCACTCAAACTCCATTCACAGTCTCATCTGAAAGAGGTAAGAACTCCAACTTTTATCTCTTCATACAGGCATCCATTGGCCACGATTTATGAAAGAAAAATGTAGATATTATAGTGCTGAAGCCAACCATGTGCATAGATTTCATTTCTATTCATTTTGTGTAGAGAATTTTGGAGTTTAAATTTCTGTAAAAATTAGGGCTTTCAAAATTCGTTTTAATCTTTGATTGTTAGTTTCCATAAGTTACATGTCTGAAATCATGGGAATGAGTACTATCATTTTCATGTTGGAAGTTTTCATTTTCATGGAGAAATGAGAAAGATACAAGAGTTCTGGCCAGCTTGAGGAAGAAGACGAAGTACAGGGCAAAGGAAGCTGTTTGTGTTATGTTTTTCTTGTTTCATTTGAACTAACGGATGTACAGCCACCCTAGTGGCAAAGCAGCACACTGAGAATGCCAAGATCATGGGTTCGAGCCTTGGTATCTGCCTTTTTGCATATTTTCTCACTTTTTGGCCATTTCTTTTATTTTTGCAGCGTGGGCTTAACTGTTGGGCTTTATATTTTTTTCTGATGCTTACATCCTGATTACTCAGGAGACCCCCTGGCCCATACATTTTATTTATTTGTTTTATTTTCTTTTTTTTTTGTTTTATTAAATATTTTCTTAGATACATAAAATCATGGAAATATAAAACATGATCAATTTTGCATTTTTGTTTATTTTATTTT